GCCAAGTGGCCAATTCAGTGACCTATTAAAATACTTGCTATAAAGACAAGACTAAGGTATACAGTACCTTATCCAGCTCATAGTTCAGGGCTTCCACCAGCACACACAATTTGTCAAGCAGAAAGATTCACCCATACTCCACGATTTATAGTAACTGATCACTGACTTTGACAAAGAAGGTTTAGCACTTCGTGGGAAACTCTATCTTAGACACTGAGCACTCATCTGCATGCGGGAAACTTAAGCACAGAGCTGGGGGTGGTCCATCACTCTTAGTCTGAGAAGGATGTGCATTGCCTGAGTAGGGCATGGAGACCTTTAGAAAGGAGTCTAAGAGGATGATGCAGCCCAGGAGAAGGCCAGGCCCTGCACCACTACCTCCTCATTGCCATGGACTGGAAGAAAGAAATGCCCTAATGTAAAGGTCATTCACATTAGGATTTGTCCAGCACACAGTGACTAGACGGCAACCAACAAGGACTCAGACTTTTCAACATGAAACACAACGTCTAGCCTCTCTGAGTGCTGGATTCTCTTATTTGGCACACACTTGAAGCCTTGAAAACTGTTGCTGTACATTATGTTGCTGCCCTATATCATAGTTAAGATATGAAAATATGGAATATTAGGCTGTCTGTACCAAAGAAAACTGGTACAGCGACTGTTAACATTGCCAAGGGGAAGTCAAGTGCTTCTATCTGAAAAGTCCCTATCGGTAATGTTATTTGACACTTGCTAAAACCATAATTTTATACCTACAGGTAAGGCATTGTACGTAAGAAAAACAAGATCAGAATGTCTCTATGTGCCTTTTAGGCACAGAGCTTCTTCAAAAAATGTTAAAGAGTTTTTGATTTTCATGTAAAATGAAGTAAAAAGAAATTCATAGAGAATAATGTTTAAATTGATGTTTCTAGAAAATGAGTATGAGAGGACTACTGATTTCTTAGTATGAGAAAATATTTGTTGCATACACAGTGCATTTTAAAAGCAGAAAACTATGGTAAACAAATCTGATCCACTGAATTAAAAGTACTTTAAGAAGTATTCATTGTCGCTAGCAATAATTACAAACAAAATCAATTATTCATGATTCAATCCCTGGTCAAATATTTCATTTGATCATCAGAAAGGTGAAATTTACTGCTCATATAAAAGGCAGCAGAAATACAAAGGCTGCCAATCAGGGGATTTCTAGCACAAGAGAGTCAATATCTCAGGGTGCTACCATTTCTACCCACCCCCCACCGCCAGCCCCTAGCCCTTTCCTATGGCCTTAAAAAAGCAAAGTATATTTGCTACACTGAGATTCCTCTGCTTCTTTTCTCAAGTAATTCTTGGTTTGGGGCGATAAATTAGAAAAAGGAAAATAGTTATATCTTGGGATTATTTTTCAAATATATAAATGTCACATCTGTTAGGTAAAGGTCTATAAAAATACATGGAAAAAGAGCCTTGTCTGAAAGGAAAGAATGAGCCTTCAATTTCTATGAGATCAGGCAGAAGACTCTAGAGACCTTACATTTCATATCCCTGAATCTGGAGCTGTTTAAAACACGACTGTAATTGTAAACATGCTTTATGTTTTCAATATGTTGCTATCTGTATGAAACATTTACCTGGTTAACCTGACTGCAAAAGTAATTTTTTTTTCCTCTTTAATTAATGACTTGAGAATTACCATCCTTGGTGAACAGGTCTTGGGGGAGGAAGCAGGAATGTAACTCTTCCTCAAGTGAAGAAAAAGGAGAGACTCCTAAAAGAAGAATGAATCTGAACTAGGCCCTTGGTAGAAAGGACTAAATCAGATTGTATGTTTTTTTTTTTTTTTAAAAGGGGAAAAATGATAAAACATACCTACTCTCTAAACTCTTCTATGTTCAAGAAACTAAATACATTTAAGACATCCTGGGGCGCCTGGGGGGCTCAGTTGGTTGGGCAGCGGCCTTTGGCTCAGGTCATGATCCTGCGGTCCTGGGATCCAGCCCCACGTTGAGCTCCCTGCTCAGGAGGGGAGACTGCTTCTCCCTCTCCCTCTGACCCTTACCCTGCTTGTGTTCTCTCTCTCACTCACTCACTCTCTCTCTTTCAAATAAATAAATACAATCTTAAGGGAAAAAAAAAAGAACATCCTGATCACAGTCTTGTACCAACAGAATCTGGGTGAAAGCAGAATGCTAGGATTCCCTACCTGACCTTCTAAGTAAGGGACTAGACATGACTTTGAGTTTGCTTCAAAAGAAGCGAGTAACTTATTGCAAGTAGTTGCCTACCAAAGAAACATGGAAATTGATTTTTGTTAACTGGAATCCTCATTTGTGGAGCCAGCCACGGAATACAGGTTTAATGCCCTGATCGACTAATTTTAAAATTCTGCATGCCATAAGGTACTTCTCCAGTGTCACCATATTAGCCGATAATGAGTGAATTACACTTTCTCTAGGGGAACAATCTACACGAATATAAAAACTGCTAAGTCCTACTTTTTCTTCTATACTCTCCAGCTTGTTTCCTTCTGGGAGGGGGGTTTCGGATGTAGCGAGTTCACACCGTCAGATAAGATATGTGAAATGACTGAACGATCGCCAAGGTTTCACTCCCAGCAAGGCAGAAGTAATTTTTGCATCATTAGTGTGAATGCTGTGAAGGCACTGCTATTATCAAGAGAGGCACCAAGGAAACCCCAGGGGTCGGAATGCTGGCTCTCCTGGTCTGTCTCATCATGCGAGAACGACAGTTACTGATGAATACGTGCTCTGAAGTCAGGGGGAAAATGCTTCCTATTTTCCAACATGACTACAACAAAGAAAAGGAGGCAGGACACACTCAAGACAAAATCTTAAATCTGCCTCTAGAGTTGTCTCGATCAAATTATAAATCTTCTGATGCTTCGATTCAACCGTTTCTGTTTTTGTTTCACCAGACAGGAGAGAAATACGAGAAATAATAATCATAAGGCAAAACAGTGTATTTGTTAAGGCCTCCAAATTGGTTGTTAAATAAAATAATAAAGCTATACTGGCTCATCATTTTGAACTCTCTACATTAAATTTAAAGTTAATAATGGAGAGCCAAAATAAAAATGAAGACAGCAATGTTCGTATTTAAAAATGAGTATATGTGGGGAAAGGAATAAAGTGGAAGGAACGGCTGACGTCAGCCTTTGTGTCGGCAGCTCTAAGTCAAGGCAGCTTCGGTCAATGACACACAGTAAGAGGGACTCACGTCACCTCGGCAGGGTGTTCTCTTCGGCAATGGCAACTGCATTCCAATGGGCCAAAACGCTCCATAAATAGGCTAGGCATTTGGGAAAAATCACCCACTGCAGTGTCATCCTCTAATACATGAGCTTTGCTTGGGGAGTCATATTGCAAGAAAAAGGAATCTTAAGATTAAGGCAGAAGTCTGGACTACTGCCTGGGTTCAGAAGAGACCCGAGTATTTAACCGTTTGTGCTCCAAGAGACTTTTAAAAAGCACTGTGATCATATTCTTTCTCCTGAAATAGTGACAAGTCACAGTGAGAGTTAATGTGACCATTTTTACTGTGTTTATTCTCGAGATAGACAGGCTCTACTTCCGGTACTTACGTATCTAATATAATCATGTATGTACAAGTGTGGAACGTACCTAGAGTACACACACACACACACACACACACATTCTGTGTAAGAATGAAAGCAAAGAAAAACACTAAGTTGGCTCAAATAATATGTCCCCTAGGAGCACTTGCTTGGCATTGTACAATTGAGACAACTTCATTACCTATTACTCTGGGGGGAAAAAAAGCAAAAATCCCTTAAACTCAGATGTCTGAACAAGCTGGTCCAGGATTTCAATTCAAAGGCCAACTAAATATCACAAATATGCTTTCTAATTTTTTCCTATTTTTACTAACAAAGGAGTTTTCCTTTTTCCAGTGCCAAAAGCAAAATTAGCCAGAGTTAAGTATAAAGGATTTTGAGATGGAAAACGAAACTGAGTATCTGAAAAAAAAGTGGGAAATTCATTTCTTATAAGAACATAATTGATTAAAAACTCCAATATCTACTTAAATCTAAAGTATATGTGCTCGGGTGCCTGGGTGGCTCAGTTGGTTAAGCGACTGCCTTCGGCTCAGGTCATGATCCTGGAGTCCCGGGATCGAGTCCCATATCGGGCTCCTTGCTCAGCAGGGGGTCTGCTTCTCCCTCTGACCCTCCCCCTCTCATGTGCTCTCTCTCTCTCTCATTCTCTCTCTCAAATAAATAAATAAAATCTTTAAAAAATAAAAATAAAAAAAAATAAAGTATATGTGCTCATTGTTGGTAGGACATTAAGTGCTTGCATTCGGGTTTTATTATAAGATAAGAGTTAATGGTCTTAAGATGATGAAGTTGTGAAGTTAAATCAAAGGCACCAAATCCAAAGAAGATTGTCATAACCACTTTCACATTCCTTAAAAGCTTTGGCATCTTCCTGAATTTTACCATGTAAATGTGACAAAACCATATACTACTTTTGCCACAGAGACAAAAGCAATTACTCCATTAAACAGTAACATTTTAAAATGTGAGGTAACAAAGATTTAGGACAATCTTGAAGGTAAGAAGTGGCAGAAAAATTCTTACTTTTAAAAAAGAGAAAACAATCCCTTTTTAGCAGTCTCCAAAGAACAAAAGATAGACTCTTTTGGAGCCTTGCTTTTGGACTTCAACTTGATGCAGTTATCAACAGACAAAAGGATGGAAACATAGAAAAATGTAATTCCGGTTAAAGACAGATGTCGTGTGGGGGCCACTCACTCAGCTTTAATTTACAAATGCCAAATTCATCTTTATATGTTAAAGAGAAAATTACAATTTGGATCGTATAATACTCATCTATAAGTATGAAGGTTTGCAGGAGGGCTGACAAACCAGCATCATAAATTTTTCTCCCTGGAATTAAGTATCAACTCATCTGGCCAGTTAGAAAAGTTAAAGGGTAGGACATATATGTAGGGACGCAGAGAATAGTTACCTTCAGCTGATTATTGAAAATATCAATCTCCTGTAGTTTTGATCTGGTTTCTTTCTCAACTTCATCCAGTTGGTCTCGTAGCTGCTGCCGAGCTAGCTCTTTTGCTTCTAAGGCTCTTTTGAGTGTAAGAAGTGAATCTCCTATTTTAGAAAAACATTGCAAGATAAGAAAAGCAAACTGGCAGTGAGGAAAATGGTTTTTAATGTTCTCATTTCACGGAGGGCAAGTCATGCCAGTAGAAGAGGAAAAGGGCGACTTTAAAAAGCAAACACCTACTGTGCAAACTGTTCTGCTGAACTTGTTTGAGTTGGTCATTGAGTATCTGTTTTTCTGGAATAAGTCTTCCGAGCATTTGCTGAGCCTCCTAGGAGAGAAGGAGGAAAACAACAATGAGCTGACAGGGAAAACTACCATGTCTACATTCCACATCCAGGCAGACGTAAGTCCGTTTACTTGTCCGTCAAAGACTCATCTAATCTCACCCCAAATCCTCTATGTAGAAACTGCATTTAATCACTTGTCAGGGCAACATTTGCTTTTTTGCCAAGCAATTAACTATTTGCCAAATGCTTTTCACTGAAATAAAGTTAAGACAGTTATAGCTCTCTTGAGATTTCTTAAATTTTTGTTGACTTACTGCCTATTTATAAGCTTTCAAAAATGTACTTTAAGTACAACTCAGCAGAGAAAACCGGAAGTATTGATCTCTCCCTTGCACTGGGATCAAACATAAATGCAGTTGATTCTATTGTTTGCAAACTGACTGAGTAATTTGAACAGGAACTACTCTACTCTGAACTTTGATACTTAATAAGGCAAATTAAGGTTTACCATACACCTGAAGATGGAAATAGAAATCAGGAAGAGATTTCTAGGGGCTCCTGGGTGGCTAAGTCATTAAGCCTTTGGCTCAGGTCACGATCCCAGGGTCTTGGGATCGAGCCCCACATCGGGCTCCCTGCTCAGCGGGAAGCCTGCTTCTCCCTCTCCCACTCCCCCGCCCCCTGGCTTGTGTTGCCTCTCTCGCTGTCAAAAAATATATAAAATCTTTAAAAAAAAAAAAAAAGAAGAAGAAGAAGAGACTTCTAACGATAGAATCTTAGCCGCCATATGTTTTTCCACCACTGAGGATGGACCTATAATTTTAATCAGGTACATAAAAGTCTTGAACCAACTATTTTTTACCTGATATAAGAAAAAAGCTAACCCACACTGTGAAAGGCTATTTGGAGTTTTCATGGATGACCTGTCAAGCACCGTATTTGCTTAAGTTCAGCTGAGAGTATCCTATATAGTTTCTACACATTTCAGTAAAATGACAGCCTTTCTGGGGCAGAATAACAAATACTTGATTTTCATTTTTATCTTGATTTTAAAAAATCTCATTAAGGGGGCACCTGTGATGAGCACTGGGTGTTGTATGTAAGTGATGAATCAATAAATTCTGCACCTGAAACTAATAGGCATTGTATGTTAACTAAGTGGAATTTAAATATAAACTTGAAAAAAATCTCTATGTATTGATTTTTGGTTTGAGAAAATAAAAATGCCTTAATTGAAAATTTTTATCAGAGGCTAAGAAGCAGTCCTTTTTGGAACAACCATCCTTAGATACAGACTGGCTTATATGCAATAAATCTTTGTGTGCCACAATTCTGAATAGGAGAGAGATATAGTTCAACAGAAAGGATCTGGAAGCATCGTCTCATATGAATAATCCACACCCGTTTCCCCAAATCTGGACAAAACAGAATATACAATTCAGATTGTTTCCCCAAAAAGGCCCAGCCAACTGAGCTTCTCCTATTCTCCTCCCTAAATTAAGGAAAGGCCTCTTACCCAATGCAAAAGTTTCTTTCCTGTACCAAGACAAACAATAACACATCAAGATAAAACCTAGCTCAGATCACTGAGACTACTTAACGTATATAAACATCACTTTTAAATGCCAACCTAAGTTTCTAAAATAAGTCATAAACCAACATGAAGGGCTACCTGACTCATCTGCACAGCAAGTATCTGCTAGTAACAGTAAGGAAAAGGAACCAATATCTCATAGCCTATGATGTACCCGGCCTTCTTCAAGCCATATATTATTTTTCACTTCACTACTTTTTCAGGAACCCTAATTTGTATTTTATTATCAATAAGTGAACATAATGTCAATCTTAAATAATAAAAAATGTGTTTGGTCACAGGGCATTCAGTGAGATAATAAATAAACACATGGCCTTCACTCCTAAATTTTCTAAGAGAATATTTTATGAAACTTCTCATAGTTAATGAAAGACATATAAAAAAGTTACCATATAGAAGAATATACTTTTAAAAGGTACATGCACTTTTTAATATGTTCAAACAATTTCTAGCTGTGAACATCTGACACTATTTACAGTATAGGTCATAACTTAATATCTCAAATTGACTAGGACTTCAAAGTACATGAAACAATAACTGACAGAACTGGAAGAAAAAAGGAAAAATTTACAATGGTAGGGCTTTCAACATCCTCTGGCAGCAGCTGGAAGAGGTCACAAAATCAGTAAGGACATAGAAAACACAAAAAACACCATGAATCAATTTTCTGTGATTGATGTTTATGAGATACTCCACCCAACTACAATGGAGTACATATTATTTACAAGTGCCCATAAAATATTCACCAACACAATCATATGCTAAGCCATAAAATAAGTCTCAGTAAACTTAAAAAGATTAAAAAGAATTGAAATCATACAGAGTATGCTTACAGCTTATAACATAAATAAATCAGAAATCAGCAAGATATCTGAAAAACAATCGAAATATTTGGAAACTAAATGGCATAATTCTAAATAACCCATCAAAGAAGAAATGGCCAAGAAAATCAAAAAAGATTTTGACCTGAATGGATACAAAAACACATTAAAAAGCAGAAATCAATGAAATAGAAACTAAAAGAACAGTAGAACAGATCAACGAAACTAGGAGCTGGTTCTTTGAAAGAATTAACAAGATCGATAA